CGAAAAATACATGTGGAAGACGGAAAGCTGGAAATCTTGTGGATTTAAGGCTTTGTAACTTAATTCTTCTAAGCGCTAATTAATTATTTATAAAGATGAGCAGTCCTACTTTTATGAGTTTTCTTCTTCCAAATCTGGAATTGACCAAGTGTGAGTTTTGAATGGAAAATGACAATTTCCAAGATCTGTGAGCCACGTGATGGTAGCATTCCCTACTTTTGAATTAAAGATTTTGACTTCAATAAGCTGCTTTGCTTTCAGTGCCATTTAATCAAACACAAAGAGCACTGGATCACTAACTGGTCATTGCCAAATCTCACCAGTACACTTCAATGTACAGTTTCATTAAATATTGCTCTTCTGTGTCTGAATATTGGCAATACTCTGGAAGACTTTTAGTGCAAAGGGGTTTTCTATTCAGATCAGGTTCTGTTTAATGCTTTGTTGGAGTTGACAGGTAATGCTCAAGAACCTTTTGTGCTATTTAGTGCAACTTTGTCATTCTGGTAGAAGTTTCAGTCATCCTGGTTTTGATGATAAAAAAAAGACTTAAGTGCTTAAAAAACAAAAGATAGAAACTGAGAGAATTAAAAAAAAACCAAAAACAATTTTTATGTTGCGATGATTACATTAAGTCTTATTCATGGCACTCAAATGCCTGTAATAACTGGCAAAAACATTTATATCCTATTTTCCAAAGCTTTCTATGGAAGGACAGGTGGTGCTTGCCCATTCTGTCATTCTGCTATTTAATTCCATTCTCACTCAAGTTCCAAGCATAGCAGACAAGGTAAGGGAGTGGCGATAGTTACCTTTTCCTAGAAGGAGCTTATTTTTGTTGCTATTTTTTAGATTTAACGTATAGCTTTTATTCATGAATATACCAAGTGCTTATGCTATTAGGTAAGTTTATGTGCGCTCAAATTCTCCATGCTTTTTGTATCATTTTAGGTGACCAACTTTGGGGGAACAGAAAGGTTCCAACTCTTAGGTGGTTTTGTTCTTTACCCAGTTTCAGGCATCTGTTTCAGAGAGCTGTAACTGGTTGATATCACGGCGCTGGCTTTGAAATTTAAACTTTTTTTCAAAGAGGATTACAGACTTCATCTTGCACAGAATCAAAAAGGTTTTCTTGAGGTCCAATATCTAAGAACAGTGCCATACAATTAGTTTGGGGTTTTTTTGTTGAGCTTCCATAAAAGGATATTATCATTTTTGGATAAGAAGTGCCAATTAGTGCTTTTAACTACATAAAAATACTGGTTCATGCAAAGCGCTGAAACAGTGTGAATGTTGTGTGATAGATGTCATTTAATAGCTTGATGATCACATGAATTTCACTTTTTTTTCCTTGAACATGTAGAATAACCAGCAAATCAAAATTTTATCTATCAGATTTAGTTTGGTATTTTTAACACTTCTTAAACTGGTGTAAGTGGGTGTGCAGGAAACTGACACTGTTTCATTAAGTCTGATCTATACTGTACTACTTTTCCATGAACTGAGCATGTTTCATTTTAATGGGTATATAACTTTGGACAGTAACATTTAGGTCTGTATGCTTTTGTGATTGGTTTAAAACCATTTAATCCTTTAGATTCTTATTTTACTTTAATGTGAAACAAACTTTTGTGAATAATGTTGTAACATGAAAAAGACATAAGGAAGCAGAACTGATCTTCCTCTCTTAACTGCTGCAGTAGCCGGCTATTACTATTGTGGTCCGAAGTATCGTATTTCCTATTTATATTCTACATCTTTTGAAGGTGCTGCCGAGTTTCGAGGCCTTTCCATGATACTTGAACTGAAATCTTGTATATATCATTAAATTTAATCAGCCGTGATAGTTTCTTCAGAGGTAGGGTCATTGCACCTTTAGTGGCTTCAAGATACTGATTCCAAATGCTGTTCTGGTTTATTTGCATACCATTATGGTTTAATTTTGTTAGCATTTCGTGCAAGGATGAGAGCACAGCCCTTAATGTGTTGTCATGCAGCAGCTATACCTCAAATAGTCATTGGACCAGTGTTACTTAGAGCACAGAACTCAACCACTCTCTGCAAACCAGCAACTTGTGTTTGTTCTTTTGCAGACAAAAGATTCTGTTCCAACAGCCAGATAAAAGTAGAAGAGTACTCGAGTACTCAATTTCTCAATATTTAATGCTTGGCTGTTTCTCTAACAATAGCAATACCTTTTTCTTGGTATGGGTTATAGCAGCTACTCTTTACAAGGAGTGTCTTAAACTGTCTGAGAGTTAGGACATGTTTGTAAATCATGAAACCATGTCAAACCACTGACTGCAGTTCCAGGAAAGGAAAACACAAATAGATTGCTTAGCATGGAAGTATAAAGATTTAAGTTTTAGAATATTACTTAAAACTGCACAAGTTTGCTGCTCTTTTTGAAAAAATAACATCCTTACTCATGTCCTGTTAAACTCAAGGCCAGAGTAAGAAAATTCAGCTAAAAATGTGTTTAAATCTCCAACATTGCCAAGAGTGTTCAGCAGTGTTAATACTGCCTGGTACCAGCACTCAGGAAGACAGGACTGCCTGTGCCACCAGTCTTGTTTCATGTATAACCTACTTAATCCTGGGGAGGGTGAATTGAAGATTGGTAATAATGCATCTCCAGGTCTTTCTCTCACTATCCTTGTCTCCAGGCTAACACCCTGATGTGGTCACCCTGATCCCCTATCAGCACTTCCTCTGCTCCCATGCTGGTAAAACAATACAAAACTCAACCTCCAGATTGTCACCCTGGGCAGCAGCACTCTGCTTTACCCATTTCACTAGGGTAAAGAAACAACTCAGTCCTGTCTGTCATCAGATACATTACAAATCCTTGTGGCCTTAGTCTAAGAATCACAAATCCAACTGTGAATACTTCCTTTTTGTGGGAGGCTTTATATAGCAAGGTTTGCACACAAGTCTGTTTCTGTGCTGTGTCCTTTTCTGAGCACCTACCAAAGTCCTTGTCCCCAGGTGTCAGTGTTTGATAGTTCAAACATTTAGCTAAATGTACTTACTGAAATGGAATCCAAGAAGAAATAGAAAATAATTTAATTCATTAAGCCTATTTTTTTGTAGATTTATTTTTTGTATTAAAAGACTATTTACTATGTTTTGCAATAGTTCACAAACAAAAGATCTTACTATTTTTGCTTAAAAGACATATATGCAGCTTTCTAGAAGTGCAGATGGTCTTATTACCAATTACTGCAGGGAGGTTGATCTCAGTTGTTGCTTATAGGTTTTCTGAGCTAAGAATTTTTTAAGAAGCTGTTGACTACCTTAAGTTTCTTATTAAATGCACATAATTTTGTGAACCTATTCTAAAATAATTCCTTCCTCTATAGTGTCAATTTTTATTTGACACTACTTAAATTTGGCGCTATTTATTTAAATACAGTATTCCAGATGAAGTGACTGGTGCTAGGAGATAAGTTCTTGTTAAGTGATCTTGTCAGTTGACATTTCATGTTGAAGCATAAGCTTTTACTTGATTTTGGTCATTTAAAAAGGTTTGGGTTTTTTTTAAATCATTTGTGCTTGGGAAGTAGATTCAAGTATTACTACCTTTGCAATAGAATTGTGAGAAAAACAAAGGACTTCAGGATAAAAGTAGATTCAAATAAAATTAAAGCACATATGAAAACCACAGCTGATCTTGTCACCTCATCTCCATACAGGTATTATGAGCAACCTGTTGTAGTAGGTGTGTCTGTAGCAGGGGGGTGAAACTAGATGACCTTCAAGGTTCCCTCCAGCTCTAACCATTCTATGATTATATACATAGATCTGCATGGCAATAGCTCATTCTAAACTGAGGAATGCACTTTAGCAGCGCAGTGTTTGGTGTTGGATGTGCACTAATACCCTATTTATTTCTATTGTCTGTTCTCATGTATAGACACTTTATTCTCCTAGTTGGCAACTACTTTCAGCTTCCATTCATTTAAGCTTTAAAAACAGTGGGAGTTTGATGAACTTCATCTACACAGCAGTTCAGAAAATCAGGCCCAAATGGAAGACTGCAGGCACTTTGAGACTTTAAGCATCTAATTTTGCTACCAAACCAGAAAATAATTTCACTATAGCAAAGATTTGTTATAGTATCAGCTTTAAAATTGATACTTAATATCCTATAGAAAAACTTCAAAGATTAAATTAGCATTGTTCTAGTTTTGTCTTTCTTAAAGCCTGTTTTTTAAATAGTTCACTGTGTAAGAAGTATAGTTTAAAATGCTTTAGAACAGACTGTCAAAACAGAAATCAAATTGCTCTGATTACTCACTCAAATTGCTCCTTGGTTTGAGAATTTAATTGGTGTCTCATGAACCCATGTACATCAAATAAAATTAGTAATACTCTAAAATGCCTCTCTGAGAGGCTTCTATGTGTTTAGAGAAATCTGATCTTCAAGCAAAATGCATTTGCTGTTTTGACATACTATGTGTGTTACGGCTTTGAGAACAGAGGGAGAATCATCCAAGTAAGTGGCCCTCTTGAATGTCTTCATGGAGTTTGACAGTGTGAGACTTACCAGTTAAGTACAACTTCTGTCAAGGAGTTAAAATATTCATCTTGAATTTATATTTGAGTGTATTTATGTGTATATATATATTTGTATTTAAAATAGTCCTCTTGGTTACTCTAAGAATTTTATAGTTCTCATCTTATATAAAGAGCTACTATACAACTTTTACAGTTTAGGAGCTTTGTGGTAAAGAAGAAAATGACTGATAACCTCCTTTTTGCATGTAATTATATAACATTTTGCCCTTTCTTCTGAATTCAATTTGTCTACATTATAGACCAATGTACACCTGTATAATACATACAACCTTACGTACTGTAATGGATCAAGTATGACATAAGTGCCTTTCTTCAGTACAGGTATTCGAACTCACAAGCTTTGCTTTCTTATATCTGACACTTAAAAGTCACTTTTCTATATCATATATATATTTAATTTTTACTTTTTTTTTTGCCAGATTGTCACAAACTACTCCGCTTTTCAAGAGTACTGAGATGAGCCCAGTGCACACCCAGTTCCTGACTACATTGCTGGAGGAACTGCATTTCACAAAAGAAGATCTGGAAAGTTTAACAAGAGTATTTCTCAAGGACTGCCTGCTTCAATGGTCAGTCAATTGCAAGTTAATTTGCATGGTATAAAACTAAGCCACGTAGCAACAGGTTTGATTTTCAGCATTTTGTGAGTGTGTACACTGCCTACAGATCGTATTAGCCAGAGTAGAACATGTGTAAAGTACATATTGAAGAAATACGTATGATATGAAAATGAGTGTTATCATCTTGTCATTTACAGTAAAGGCCAGCTGCTTATGTACCACTTCAATCTTTGGATAATAATTTATATATACAACATTTTATATATACATTTGTTTATAATTGGTTTTTGTAGAGTTGGTTTACTGCAGTTCTTGGAGGAATTTTTACTCAAGTTCTGCTACAGTTTGTTACAAAAGAAAGTGTGGCTACAATGGTTAAGTCTTAGTTCGGGGTTTTTATTATTGAAATGAAATTGTTATGTTTTGGTATAAAACAGAGCTAAAAGCAGGGTATTTTATGCATAATACTAAGACTACATTCTGGGTAGGCTGAGAATGTGAACAACAAATAGCTTATTTATGTTGATCATATTTAACTGATTAGATTAATACAGCATTATAGTAATTAGTGTAGTAACATTACTGACCTCACTCCTTTGTTCCCCACAGAATAAGGTGATCATGTTAACATCTCCTGCTATCTGAAATAGTGGTTCAGAGAACAGAAGAACACCTTCAACTGTTGGACCTTCTTTCTTTAAAAAAAGAAAAAAATACATTTACTCTTAATTATACTTCTTGCACTTTTGATTTTTCATTTCCTTCCTATGAATAAGAATTCTCAAGTCTTGTGGAGAAGCCAACTCTAACAGCAGTTGTTTAAGACTAGGTAAAACGTAGATCATCTGAAAACCGTCTATTTAAAAGCAGTAAAAAGGAATTTGCATTGGTTGGGATTTTACTTGCCCTGGAAATCTTTAGCCAACATTTGTCTACAAGAACTGGGGAACGAAAGGAAAAAAAACAAGCATATTAGCCTGGAGTGTTAAGAACACTGTAGCTGACATTTTTCCAATTGATCCAATGCTTGGAACAGTAATCTTTAAAAACAATGACAAGAGTATATAAAGATGTCTGATGTATAGCCTGTTTGTCTTACTGCTTATGAGAAATGTGGTGGTCTTTGAACTTGTGTACAAGGTAAATAGCTTCTAATGGTTACTAATTTGGACTTTAAAATATATTTTAATAACTAAAAGCTGAATTTTTGGCTTTCTGTATTCATTTCAGAGTTTTGTTTAGACTCTGTTTAGACTTGTTTCTGTCACTGATTACAAAATGCAATTTAAAACTAATCCATTGGTAATTGTTAATGATTCCGTATTATGGTTTCCTGCATAGTTCTCACTGTCCTTCGAGAGACCTGAGAAGAAATTGTCACAGCAAACACCCGCACAAGTTAAGGCTGAAACAGGGTGTAGCAGAGCTGCTACATAGCAACTCCATTTAAGAAACAGTCTATTCCCTGATTTTGTTTCTGTAATTGGACACCAACAGGGAACTGTACACTTCATCATGTTATTGCAATATAGTTCCTTCATGACAATCAGGATAAACACATTGATTGCCCCCCTATACACAGAAGCCCATGAAGCTTTTCTGTGGAGGCTTCACTGTGCGGTAGAGTTCATTTAGGTGATGCTTGACTTTTCCTAATTTTGTTTGTAATGGGAAGTTATGTTCAGTATAACTTGTAAAAGAAATAATTTAGAATGAGGAAAACCTTTACTGCAGAGTTCAAGCTATGCATTTTTCACAGAACACAATAGGAAAAGAATAGCCACTGTGGTCAGAGAATGTCTGATGTCAAAGTCATGATGTCTGGATAGAAGATACATTGGGTCTGTATCATGATGGAAAACTTTCTACTTGATTTGTATGCAGAGAAAGAACAAGACCTCACCAAAAGATAAGCTTATAGAAGACTGAGCAATAGGCATGATACTCTGCGCAAAACTTAAACCTTGAAATTATATCTTCCTGCTCCTGATTTTGGAAGGTAAATACATTTCTCTTTTTAGCCAATACTTCACTGTAGATTCTGAGCAGCCATTGTTCTGTTCCGTGTACATTTACCTTGAGGCATAAAGATTACAACAACCCCCTGACAATGCTGCCATACTGAGTACACCTAGAAGGCATTACAAATTCACATCACACCAGGAATAGGACTGTGTTTGAGCAGGTTCAGTGGCTCTCATTTGGAAAGTTTTTACACTTCCTGTCAGGTTTGTGGTTGGGTTTTTTTTTCATTATTTTTAGGCTTGGTCTTCAGCAGTTACTGTGTAAGAACTATGTGATCTGGTAATGACAATGAATAGTTCATAGGCCCAGTGACCTCTTTATGAGGATTCACTCTTCTTGTTTTTCCTTGCCCCAGGAGAACAGAATAACCTTTCTCTTCCCATTCTGTAATATGCTGGAAATGCCCTGAAGGGGCATATCCTTCACTTACCTTTAATGCTTTATCTCCCTTAGTTGTGTATAAAACACATAAGTAAATGCAGGAAGTATACATATAGCCATTATTTTTAAGCAGGAGGAAGACAGTAGCCTCATCTCAAAAGGATGGTTTGTACTATCAGCATCAACTGGTTATACAAAAAGCACAACTCAAGCACCAGAACTTAACTTCATCTATGTAGTTTTCTTATAAGCATATTTCATAACAGCTTAACTGGTAAAAATGTTCAAATCCAGACCTTAGTTGAGATTAAAGCTAATTTCTGCCACAACTGTCTGTCTTTTTTACATGCTTACCTTTTCTACCTTCTCATTTTGGTTATGGTTTCAGGCAGGTTGTATATCATTGATATAGTAAAGAAGAGAAGAACAGTTTAAAGCTTAAAGCAAAGCCTGCTTCATGCTCTTACAGCTTCTTTTCATCAAAGGAGTGATATGCAACATACACCTGCATAGTGCATATATGGATTTCTTACCCAATTTTCTGTGGGTATAATGAGGTAATATCAGGAAGAGAACAGTGCTAATAAAACTACATATACAGAGAAAAACTGGTGAGAGTTATTCAAAGCAGTCTATGTGCTGCCCAAAGAGGATGGAGGAAAAGCTTTTGTGTCTACTTTCACCGTTCAGTTCACAGTCCTGTAACTGCTGTCAGCGTAAGCACTGCACTCTCTAATGCTGTATTTCCTAGCACAGACCCCTCCGCTGCTGCTGGTTAATTCGTGTCCATTGACTAAGCCTGCTGATTTTTCTAGGGTGCTAAAGGGAATAATGGGGTTCAGAGTGGTGCTGAAGGGAATAAGGGTATTCAGAGTAGTTCACTTCATGCCCACTTTCCTGAAGTAGTGGTTAAGTCATAATATAACCTGTAAATTATCAAGCATTTGAAGTATCTGCATCTTTAAAGTTTGCAAATCGTGTTATGCTTATATATAGTAATGCAAAATTCTACATTAAAACAAGTAGAAGAAAACTTGATTTATTTCATTGAAGTCTATCAAAAACAAGCAAGTGCCTTAGTAAATCTAGAGCAGCATAACTGACATGGCTGTGCTGCTGTCTACACCCAGAACTAGAACATTACATCTACCCTGTCTTTAAAGGGTGACACAGGGAACAACGAGTGTGGCACATATATGAGATACATCTGAGGCCTCAAATGCTGTGTCCACACAACACACAGAAGATTGACCTGTGGCTTAAAAGCGAGGCAGAAGCATCTGTTGTGGTCTGGGGGGTGAAACGGCACTTCTGTGAATCTTGGTGTTGAACCCGTATGTCCTACCCTTCTCTGCCTGGTCTTAGAGGATCTAAGCTCTACAAAATATGAGCGGGGACGAGTAGCTCAGTTGCACCCTTTAACTGCTGGAGAGAAATGGTCTAACACATCAGAGAGAAGAAAAAGGAAGAGAAGGGGAAGTCAGTATTCACACCTTTAAATTTAGACATCCAACCTTAGGTACTTGCCTGTCTCCACAAAGGACCGATGTTCTTTGGTTTAGTTTCTCCAACTCATACCTTTGCCCAGTGTTGGAAGCAGGTGCTGTTAATGCCTCTGCCCCGTTCCCTGTTGGCAGAAAGCAAGCAAAGTGAGCTGAGAACTTTGACCATGGTAGTCTGGCTCTGCCTGGGGTAATTTATTTAGTAATAAAGTGTGGCACAGAATTGAATGAGGACCTGGAATGTGGGAAGTTTCTAAGCAATCTGATCCTGCTGTTCCATTATTTTGACAGCTGCTACTTCACACTTCTATTTTTCTTCACCTCTAAGAGTTAAAACCAAAAGAATTAAAGTGAGTGACAGTCCTCAGGAAAAAAAAAGTACTGCCAGTGTGTTGAAAGTGCATCCAGGATACCTCCAAGCTTTCCATACTTCCTCTGTATTCCTGCAATTGCTTACAAACACGCAGTATAGCGGGTGGGGATTGCCTTGATCTCACTGGGGTAGCAGATTAATGCTGAACTGTCATTTCCAATGAGCATTAAATATTGAAAGTCTAGAATGAGCCTCTCTTTGACAAGTCTTAAGTTTCCATAAGCAGCAGGTGGTACACAAGGCAGGGCTAGGCACCTATAAAGGCCTCTGTTTTTCAGCTGCATATCTCTACCACCTGACAGCCAGGCATCATCTGATTAGAGCTAGAGGAAGTAGGTGTGACTGCCATTAGCAAACACACTGATATTGCTAAAGACTATTCCTCCTCTGAGCTTGCCTTTTGTGACTCTTAGAACCAATTCTCTGCAGACTCAGTGCGGTGGGAGAAGGGCTGCCTGAACGACGCTGTAGAACATGAACTGTGGCATTTGTGGTGCTAAACAGGATTTGGTGAGGTGGGGAGGGAGAGCTGGAAACCTGCATCTTCAAGTAGCTCTCATGTGAGCACTCTGGTTTCAAAAAAGCAAGTGAAAGCAGTGATCTGGACATGTGTGATCAATGTTAGTCATCCCCCCTTAGTTGCCTGCAGCTGTAGAGCAAGGCGTAAGGCAACCTGAAGTTTTGCAAAAGTAAACAAGACTATCCAAAAAGAGTAATAATTAGCAAGGAGAAAAGCAAGAAACAAGCACAAGCCTTTTTAAACTGTTCTTGGCCTGAAAAATGGGCAATATTGTGAGATAAGTAACTTTCTCAGCGTAGTCTCCTCAATACAGCATCACATTTGGAGCAGCAGTAACAGTCAAGAGCAAAGGCCATCAACTTTCTGACCAGTGTTTCTGGGATCTGTGAACCACAGTTGCATGTGCAGAGTTAAGTCGTAGACAGAGGAAGGCTTATCAGTCATAACATAATACTGCAATTAAGTGTGGCCCCTGTAACACCTCCGACGTCCACTTGTTTGCTGGTTTTACTGTACTGTCCTGCAGTTACCCCAAGACAACAGCTCCCTCACATGTCCCTTCTCTGAGAACAAACTAAAGTTGACACCTGGGTGATCATGAGGCAGCTGCATACCACCACTATGCAAACTCCCTCCTTAGAAGTCAGTCCCCAGTATGCTTTGGCAGCCTGTACTTTAAAGGCAAAATCTTTAGTACGTTTTTTGCAGGCTTTGACTACACACAGAAGCTGCATGCAAAGATCAGAGAGCAAAGCCAGTGGCACTACTGACTGGTACATTCTGCATCATAGCAAGCCACACCAAATCAGTGCCATTTATGGCACTTTTTAGCCTCTTAAATTTCATGGGGTATGTAACTGAACTGAACTGAACACATACTGGGAGAGCAGCAGCTTCCTACAATTTAGTTAGAGAGTCCTACAGTTTGGTTAGAATTAGTCATCGCTACAGAGAGTTTGAAGGACTTTGGATGCAGCTTTAATAAGCTGCAAACACTTAGATCAGGATTTACATCATAAATCTTGCCTTTATGTCCTACTCAAATAGGAGTGTCTACAAATCAGGTTAATATAATTTAACAGTACAGTAGTTAAGTCACAAAATAAGATCATAATTGGTAGTATTATCTAAGAAGGCAGAAGAACTCTGCTTACAGCTGCCAGCTAAGATCTGACTCATCTAAGGTATCTTATAGCGACCGTATGTTAGGCATGTCTATCACCTATAATGCCAAAAAAAAAAAAAAGGTAGCATTTCCTAATCAGGATTTGCCACTGAGCAGGATTTTCCGTGAACAACTCAGTATTATAAGATCTAGTCACAGGCAGGAGAAAGCCTTTTGCAGACACTTCCCATTTGTTAATAAATAGAATAAATGGCCACAAATGTGTGGCTAGAACCGA